TCTCTCTTTTGCAGAACAAAAAAGAAGATATTTTGAAGAATGTTGGTAACCGAACATTTGCGGTGATCCATGAACTTTCCTTAAATGGACAAAACATGCAATGGACATTCTGGAAACTGTTTGGCAAACAACGTTCTTCAAAATATCTTTCTTTGTGTTCATATAAGTTTGGAATGCCATGAGGGGGAGTGAATGATTACTCCTTAAATCATATTAAAATAATTTACCTTCATTAAACTGTTTAAAAAAATCAATGTACAAACTATTTACGTATTTTGAAAAATATTTGTATTAACCATTTCAATTCCTATTTCCAAAATGTGATTATTATAATAATAATTATATTGTTTTATTAAAGAATATAGTTTTATGGCTTATGATTATTGATATGTTTTGACACTCCCAGTTTCTGTTATTGAAAATATCATAATTAAACACTGAAGTAATAATTATAGCTTTGAATGTTATGTTGGACAATTGGGGCCTTTAAGTCAAAAAGACTGATATCCACTAATATACACAACTGGCACCAACTTGGCTTCAGTTACCAGTTATATTGAAAACAGCCTCGGATGACTTCACTAGTATTATTACTGTACTACATTGGTGTCCAAACTCAGTCCTGGAGGGCCACTGTCCTGCAGAGCTGAGCTCCAACTTGCCTCAACACACCTGCCTGGAAGTTTCTAATAAGGGTTGGAGCTAAACTCTGCAGCACAGTGGCCCTCTAGAAGCAGGATTGGACATCTCTGCTGAACTATAATACACAATAGTAGGTTATAACTATAACAATACAAACCCCTTCGGGAGATCAAACTGACTATTTTCTGATTATGAACAGCTGTTTATCCCTTACATAATTTTATAATTCATACATAATTGTCTTTTATGATCAGGTGGTATTTCAGTACACACTTGAGACAGTGGTGGGCTTCCTGGTGCCATATGTGATCATCGTCAGCAGTTATGTGTGCATCCTTCAAAGGCTCAGACAGATGATGTTCAAGAGATGGATACGAAGCGAAAACCTTATTCAAGCTATTATTGTGACATTCTGCATTTTTTGGCTTCCTTACCACAGTATTAATATAGTGCAAGTAAGTCGTTTAAATTCTATTTCTTTTTGGTAATCTTTTTCCAAATCTTCATGAGCACAATGTATGAATTATCATTTGTCTTCTGGGCAGGTGGTAGCAGCTCTTACGCCAAAGGAATCACCACTCAAAAAGAAGTAAATGAACTGAAGATTTTAAATAGTCCAGATATTTCTCAAAAAGTCAACAGAACCGAAGTAACCACATGCTCTATCCTTCCTCAGACTGGATGACATCTGGCACTCGAGCCGTGCGGTTACATCCGCTCTGGCTTTTATCAGTAGTTGTGCCAATCCTGTCCTCTACGCCTTTGCTGGACGCTCCTACATCAAAGCTGATGGCCTGGCATTCATGGCCAGACTCTTTGAGGGCACTGTCCTGGACTATGGTGCACGGAGAGGCCGTCAGAACAGAGATGGCATCAGGCTCTAAACCTCATAGGAGCACAGACACATAAAAACGAATCTTGGACAAATTATTTTTTTAATCCGTTTGAATTGTGACTGATACGATAGAGAATAAACAGGTCAACAATGTCACCTAAAAAGACAGCATAAAGACCTACAGAGCTTTTACATTTATCAATTGACAATTCCATTATGAGAATGCATTTATGCAGCTTTCATTTTAAAAATCAACCTTCAAGTTTGTAAACCCTTCATACAGAACTACCCCGCTTTCCCCAATTTGAAGATTGTATTAACATTATACATTAATTCCTGGATTATCTGGATTTGTGTATATTTAATATAATCGTCGCATTACCTATTGTAAATAGTTGTACAAAGATCGCTTTAAACCTTAAACAAGACGAATTAACTCGCTAGCAAATGCTCACATTTTAGTCATAGTGCATTCACTTTTGGCAGTACAAATTCATATGCAGTAATCAAACCCTTCTGCACTTGTTGGAAATGTCTAAAACCCAGTTAAATATGAATATGCATAACTTACTCGGTCACACAAAAGGATTTTAGCACCCAATCTCTTTTTATATTTGACTTTAAAATTCACTAGTACACAAGTCTCACCATGAATCAGACCTATTTTAAAGAGAATTTATTGCAGCGGTTTCAAATCCTCACTGAATTATATTGCGGGCATCTTTTAGAGTAACAAGATGGCAGGCAAGCAAGCATGGACAAACTAGACTACAGAACACAATTATGTACTTTAATCTTCTGTACCATAATTGGGTTATATCTCTAGTAAAATAAAAGGCCAGTGGACCTCATTCAAATAGTAGAAAGTCAGTTCACATGAAGTAAACCCCTAAAGAAAAAAAGAAAAGAAAATGGGAATTAATACAACACAGACATTAGATAAAAGGTAGTTACTTCATAGTTTGGATTTACTCCCTATCACAGAACGAAATACATAAAGCATACCTTAAATCAACACATTCCTGCTTTCAAAAGTTGAGGTTCCTGCAGAATATTTGTGATGTTAGAAGAAAAAAACAACATACTAAACTGGGGTTCGTTTTCACCCAGAGTACTTTTATCAGAGCATGTTAATAATCACTGGCTATCAGAAACACGGACTACATGCAATTCATCACCTCAGCGGAAGACGGTTACTCGGAGGCACACGAGATTTGAACTCACCTCACTTCCATAAACGCGTCTCTGTAAAAA